ACAAAAAATTATTTAATTAAAACTTCATTATCGATTCACTCCCCCTCATCATCTTTAACTCTTTGAACTTTATTTCTATTCCTCTGGATAGTAGCAATCGTATGGGAGAATTTATTATTATTACCACCAAGTTTTAATCAGTCAATTCTAGATTTTTGAGCCCAAAACAACTCTTCATGGGCTAGAATATTGTTGAGGAGTTTTTGGAGAGCAATTTCATGGTTGATCAAAGCGGAATTACTTGGATCCACCTCAAGCTTTTTGTTGAACATTTGTTAAATTCCCAAGAATATGCTCTAGTACCAACGGCATCAAAATCCCAAGCTTTCTTGATAACCTCAAACCTAAAAAGTTTTAGCCCATTGACTTGCATACAATTAGTATCAAGAATGAGAGGGGAGTGATTCGATTCCAAAAATGGGAGATTAATAAGTCTACTCTCCTCAAAATCACACTGTCACTCAGCATTCGTAAGGACCTAGTCAAGTCTCTCCTTAGTAGTACTATTCTTCCAAGTGAGTTGGGGTCCTTCCATGTCCATATCGACCAAATTATAGTGGATGATCATTTGATTGAATTCTCTTAGGTGGTATGGAAAAACTCTCATCCCACCTTTTTTTGTTAGGGAAAATCATTGATATAGAAAAAGTATCTTTTCCATATCATATCGGATGATATGGACCAATCAACATTCGACTTGTCTGTTTACTGGTTTCAAAAACAAACATTTAAAAAATAAATTCATTTCAAAATAAGAAAGATGTTAACGTCTTCGCCGTTAAACGTCACCCTCCCCCTTCTCTCTTTCTCTCCAAATTCCAACCCCTATCCCTCTCTCTGTTCGTGGCCGTTGTTGAGGTCTCTTCTCATGGAATGTCTTTTTATTCTCTCTTCTTGATTTCTCTCTGCTTAGGACCTTACGTAGTCTCTAGTCTGTTTCTTGCTTTATCTCTCATGCACACTCTGTTTTTCTCCTTTTGCACTTTCAGTGGTACAGAAAGAGACACCTCGATCTTCGCCTCTGAATTGTATGGGTTTATAATATAAGATTATATTGTTTTATTCTTTTTTTTGTTATTGTTGTTATTGGGAGAGGGCGAGAAGAAAATCAAAATGAAATGCCGAGTTTCTGATCTTGCTTTTGGGCGCCATCTTCTTGCTGGCGGTGGTGTTTTGTGGATTTCCGAAGAGGCTAAAGCTCGAAAGAGCCTTTCCGATAAACTGGAGAGCTAAGCTGAGTGAGTTTAGTGCTCGTGACAGTGCAAGGCACTGTCGATTCTTGCAGGGTGGGATCATTGGTTTTCCCGTCGAGAGTACCTATAATCCTTACACCGTCAGGTAATTTTTTCTGTTTTCTTGGTTCGTGGTTGATTTTAAGCTTTGAGTTCATTTGAGGATGGCATTTGGCTTTTGGGTTTTATTTCTTGAATTAGTTTTTGTTCTTGGCTGGAATTTGTTTCTCTTCTTCTTTTACCTACTCATTATTTTATAATTTATATTGATGGAATTTTGATATTGTTTGTTTCTTTACTGTTTCCTTTTCTTTGTTTAATAGGTTCTAGATGTAATGATTCTTGATATTTTGAGGTTCTTTAGTTTGCAAATTGACAACTATGTGGGTCTATATTCTTGATATTCTGAGGTTCTTTAGTTTGCAAATTGACAACTGTGTGGGTTTATACTGTTCTTTCTCTTTTGATGTGGTTCATAGATGGGATTTCGAAGATTTTGATTCCTTTTCTTTATTTGCTTATCTTCTTCGGCTTTTGATTTCCTTGAAACTCTACAGGGTGGGGATTTATTGTAATGGCTTCGACACATTTCTTTTTCTTTGAACCAGAGTCTATTTTATAAGAGTGAAATTGGGGACTCCTCCAAAAGAATTCTATGTTTAAATTGTCACCAGAAGTAATGCCTTATGAGTCACTTGCGATGCCTGCAATGGTTGCCCCAAATATAGCGGCCTGAATGTAAAGCTTTCTTTTTTTTTCTTTCTTTCTTCCACATCCTTCCTCTTCTTTCATTTCCATTGGCATTTTTGCAGATGGAAATCCTTACCAAGACTATTAATTTTTGCAGATTGCTTTGAATTTCTTTGATGGTGCCACCTCATCCACAACTTCTCCACTATCTTGTTCATATAAAATATGTAATTTGGTGGTTCAAACTTTAGATGATGGTGGCACTGCTCAGAATTCCCAGTGTGGTTACTCCTTTGAGTATGGTGATCGAAGTGAGACATCGGGTTATTATTGCACAAGATATATTCTTTTTTGACACAGTTCTCAAAAATATTTTAAATTTTAATTATAATATAAGATAATTAGTTACTAGTTACTATAGTAAATCCAGTAATTGCTATAAATGTGGCATTATGAGGGATTTTCGATTCCATATGATTTTCCATATCATAGTTGGACCCATTTTGTTATCGCAATCTCTGAATGAATTAAAGTCTCCCATTAGGACCAAGGACCATTAGTGTTATTTGTAATTTCTTTGAGACAATTCCAGACTCTTAATTCTTCCAACTTACAAGGGTGAATCAACCAATCATTTGAGAATATAACATTGATTGAATATTTAGAAGAATCCTATAACACTCACAACTTCACAATCAGTTTTGGCCGCACATTGTATTTATTATTCATAGGAGATATTTCCAACAATGTCGCTAGAAAGAACAATTTCCAATTCATATCTTACACTGGTTCAATTAACCAGAAATGTGAAAAACAATTATTAAAATCTATTCCTTACATAGCGCTGCTTATACCGACCCCACAGCCACATTCCATGTGCATTATTGAGAACATCTTTTCATAAATAATAAATCCTGATGTGGGGTAATAACAGATTATAAAATCGGTGTGAGAGGCTCTCTATGAAGAACTGATCCGGACTCTAAATAATATGAGCGGAAGGTGTACAGTTGATGGACAAAATAAACAAACAATGGGTCCATTACCATTTACCAGCAGCCTATAAACAAGTACGAGTCCCTCAACCTTCAAATAACTTGATAACAACACCGCGTAAAGGCGTAGAGGGAGGTTTCTGGCGGTTTGATTTGGAAGCTAACTTAACCGACTCCGGCAGTGGTACCTATGGCACGTGCACAGCCCTGTTGGCTGTTGATCAAGTTTCCAGCACATAAAACCATCAACGGCCAATTAGAGACAAAAGTAGATCGAAGAAGACCAGAACGTGGAAATAATTAGGAAACAAGATTTTTAAATTCCAACATCATCGTTACTCCTGCTCAAACCCGGCGGCTAGACTACCACCGCCATGCCCGCCCGACCGCCTCTTGCCCTTCCCCCCAATGGCCAATAATACTACTGCAAGTGTAAGCTTTACTCTAGGGCTGTTCATAAGAAGGCCCAACCTGATTAAACCGACTCAATTCGAGTCGGTCGGGTTTTTATTAGCATCGGTCGGTTTTGGGTTGTATAAATTCATAAATCGATAGTTCGGGTCGTTTCGGTTTTTTTGTGTAAAAATTAAATCTGATCCAAACCGAATCGACTTAGTTCCTACTTAATTAAGTTGTCTCTATCCTAATTCCTAATTACAACCTAACTTAGTCTTGTAGTTAGGAATAACATTAATGACAAGTATTGTAAGACAAATAGATAAGGAATTTTTTTGGAAAAATTTAAAGAAAAGAATCAAAGAATCAAGGAATAACATTACAGTTTGACTTTCTATTTTCTTGATAACTTCTGTCTTCTATTCTAATTCTAACTTGGTCCGCCCCCCTTAACCGAAACCGACCCAAACCAATCCACCCGACTCAAATCGACTAGGTCGGTTTTACTTAACACTAGATCGATTTCGGTTTCCATCTCATATTCTCAGAGAACCCGATCAGGTCAAATCAGTTAAAAAAACCTCAATAAACTGACCCAACCTGACCCGTTCACTCAAACAATACACACCACCCTCAAAAAAATAACACTTAATTTACAAAATTACCTCTTTATGGTTTCGAATTTCGATTATGATATGAAAAAGATCTGATATGTGAAAATTCTTCCCGTTTCGCATCATAAATTTTCCCCTTCCGCTTTTAGCTGTTTTTTACAACTGTTTATATTTTTTTCGTTAATCCTAATAAAAAGGAAAAAAATCAAGAAGAATAATATAAAAGTCACCTTTTTTATTTGTATGACTGACTGACTGATTGACTTTCTTTACTTTTTGGTAATCTTCCCTAACTATTACTTAGTTTAATAGGCTATTTTGCATAGACGTTTCAACTTTGCATGGTTTCTAATCTAACAAACCAACCCTTGCTGAACTTGGTCTAACCTTTCGACCGTCATACTACCTACTTCAGTGCTCCACAAGATATTCTACACCTCAAATTGCAATCATCCGCCCTAACCCCCAAATTTTACTCTCGACAGAGGGAGGGAGGGCATCGCAAATTTTAACAACACTACAGAATTAGGCACATATGGGATGTGGGTACTCTCGTTGTGTAATTCAGAGTTTTCAAAATCGGACTGGATCAAACAGTCAAACTACAAAAACTAGAAATAGGCACCCATTTAATCTTAAAACCCACTTTTTAGCCAAAAATCATTGATTTGATTAATGAATCGTTGATTCGGACAGTTGAACCGTCTACCCGGACAATGATTTTTGCTGCATTTTGTTTTTTTATTTTTTTTGTTAAAATAAGTCATTCATTCGGGCCATGACCGGACTATTTGACCTGGGAATCGGTCCCAGGGCGGTTTCCTATCCAGTCCGGTTTTAAAAACATTGATGAACCGAATAACCGAATATTCCATATGAGTTAAACGGATCTTTACAATTTAAAATCGGGTATTGCAACTATGGTTCCGACCCGCATTCCGACATTATACCGTCATGTTTTTTTTACCGACTTATAGCCTTGGCAGTTGGGAGCTTGGGTCCACATGTGGGCCACATCACAAACTCTCTCAGTGTTATAAATAGGAACCCCTGAACCCTTTGCATTTCTCCCTTTTAAGTGTTTCTTTTAGCTTGTCTAAAGAGGAGGAAGTAAGGAACAGCTTGTGTGGAGAATACACGTTCTGCTTCTTCCTCTCCAAACTTTCCGATATTTTCTTTATATCATCCAAAAAAAAAAGAAAAACGAAAGAAAGAAGAAGAGAAGAAACGTTGAGATCTTCGTCTTATTCTTCCAATGGCTCGAATCTCTGTCCATTCTATCTTTCCTTTTATGTTTCCCCTTTTGTTCGTCTCAGGTAAAATCTATCTCCTCTGTTTTCTCCTGCTTCCCTCTGTTCTCAGGATGTTTTGCTTATATAGTCTCAGTTTTATTTCCCGGTTTCTGCAGGGGTATTGTCGGCAACATTCACGATAACCAATAACTGCGGCTACACAGTATGGCCGGGAGTGCTATCAGGAGCAGGGACCGCAGAACTATCGACCACTGGGTTCGCTCTTTCCAAGGGTGAGTCGAGTACCATCACCGTCCCGGCATCTTGGTCGGGTCGGTTATGGGGACGTAGCCTTTGTACCGAGGATTCAAGTGGGAAGTTCTCGTGCGTAACCGGGGACTGTGGGTCGGGGAAGGTAGAATGCCTAGGGGGCGGCGCTGCCCCTCCTGCAACTCTGGCTGAGTTCACCTTAAACGGCGCCGGTGGCCTGGACTTCTACGATGTGAGCCTGGTGGATGGATATAACCTTCCAATGCTGATAGTGCCGCAGGGAGGTTCGGGAGGGAACTGCAGCAGCACTGGGTGCTTGGCGGACCTCAACGCTGCCTGCCCTTCCGAACTCAAGGTGTCAAACGTGGATGGGAGCGAGAGCGTGGCCTGTAAGAGCGCATGTGAAGCCTTTGCACAGCCTCAATACTGCTGTAGTGGCGCTTACGCCAATCCTAACACGTGCAAGCCAACTTCTTACTCTGAGATCTTCAAACAGGCGTGCCCTCGTGCCTATAGCTACGCCTACGATGATGGCACCAGTACCTTCACTTGTGCTTCTGCCAATTACATTATCACCTTCTGCCCTTCTCTTACCACCAGGTAATTACATCTTTTAATTCTTTTTTTTTTTTTTTACTTTTGAACGTTAAAAAAAAGTAAAAAAGTAAATTAAAAAAAAAGGACGGCGTGGATGTGTAGATGAGGCCAACATAGCATGTGACTTCCGGCGACAACCATCGGATTAGAATTAAAGTTAACCGATGGTGGGCGAAAGATGGTTTCAACATAGCATGTCACTAATAACCCAACGGTCACCGTGGTGGGTGGGGGTCCCTCCCTCCCAACTTGAGAGAATCTTGCTGTCAACATGAACGTTGGGGGCTCAGAAATCAGAGAGTAGGCCTGAACTGAATATTTGTGTCATCTCTGACAGTCTGTCTGACTACAAAATATCCAGGCTTTTTTGCGCTTACCAACAAAAATATCCTGTTCATTTTTTGGTCAATTTGTGGTTTTTGCCTCTTTTAATGGCATTTCATTCGGAGACGCGCGTGATCCAATATCTTTTTTTTTTTTTTTAATTGTAATTTTTTGGGTAACGGCGTCACCCGATATCCGAGTCAGGCTCGGGAAGTAGAGTAGTGTTAAATGTGGTTCAAGGATGAAGGACCACACACATTTAGTTCAATGTTCCCGTGCATTTACACTTTACACCCCCACCTTATTCTCCTTTCCTTTTTTATAACTTTGGTTTTTGTAGACAATTTAAGCATCTATTTGAGCTTGTTGTCGAGGACCAGGTCGGTGTCGCAAAAAGGGCGTAGCCAGGAGCCAGCCTAGTGCCTACTACATAACCCCAACACGTCTCTCTTCTCTCTTTCTTTCTTAGAAAGCTACATAGATATTCATCCTTCATTCCTTGGCACACCGTCCAAGCTTTTACCATCACTGCACGATTGATATCTATGAATCGGGATTCGGGGGGATGGTTGTTGGTATCCGACGGAAAATTTAACATTTATTGTTGTCTCTATAAATTTAAAGGACGGTAAAAATTGGGTTGGTTTTTATCATGTGAGTTCACAGTAACAGTTAATTAATGTAACGGGTTGGATGTAATTGCAGTCAGAAATCGTCGGAAGGGAAACATCCAGAAGCGGCCGACGTACCTGCGCTCAACGGGTCGATGGTGTTCTTAGGGGGTAATTACGCGAGCGGGGCGTCATCGAACATGCAGCGACAGCAAGCGTTGGTGGCAGGTGCCTTGGCTATTTTGGCGGCATTTTGGAGGTTGTGCCAGATTTTCTGACTTTGGTTCCGCTAACTTGTATCACAATCCTCCAAATTCCAAAATTAATAAGAGGTTTTTATGGAGAAGTGGATGGAGAGAGAGAGAGAGAGAGAGAGAAAGAGAGAGAGAGAGAGGGTGGGGGCATTTCCTCTGTTTCGTCCACTGAACTCAACTCCTATCCATATGATAGATAATACGGATGGACCCGAAAATATTTTGTCCGAGCCTGCGATCGAGAGGAGAGAAACGTTCGGAAGTCGCATGCACCACATTAAATTTTGGCCGGCCTTCTCTCTCTCTCTCTCTCTCTCTCTCTCTCTTCTCTCATTTTTTTTATTATTTTTATATTATTATTATTTGTTTTAACGGGGAGATCCGGAAGAAAAAAAAAAAAAAGTGGTGAAAGCAATAGAATTTGGGGAATTGTTATATGAATTTTTAATACTAAATGAAGGGACGAGGTTTATTTGGAATTGGGCCGGGGGAGGGGGGTTGTGCCGGTATATGTAATCATTGCCTAGTAAGGCCAAAAATATATATATATATATATGATGACGTTCCTGCTATTGTTATTTGTTCTGGATTTTTTTGTTATTGTGTGGTATGCGTTCGCTGTTTGATTTAACTAGTGTAACTGCGCAAGTAAAGGATAATGATATAATATAAGATGTAAATTTAACTTTCATTTGCTATGAATTGCACCAAAACCAATGGTTTTATAGATGAATTGTATGATTTTGTGTGGAGAAGCAACTTCAGTTAACCAAATACGATACGATGTAGCTGGGGGTTTATTGGTACACGAAGAATGGCGATGGTGGTGTCTACATCCATTCCCATTTTAACCATTTGGTATCCAATGCGTATGATGAGCTCCTTGACTACGACATATGGTGTTTTGTATAGTAATTTCATGTGGTGTTGCGTGTTAGTTTTGGGAACCAACTGAGAAGATGAAGTAGTGAGCCTCCTCCCTCCAAAGTTGAGAAACAAAGAAATAAACAAACACAAAGGGAAAGGGTAATCATATCGCAGTTTCTCACTTGTACATACATACTAGGAGCGTCGGCAAGTAGTTGCATCTCTGCCTAACAGAGAATTCGGGGGGTGTGTGATTGTTTTGACCTTTTCACGTGTGCTTAAACGCGTTCATAACCTTTGACCTCCACAACTTTACCATGGTCCAACAGAATCTTGTAGGTAACTGATTGAATTCAGATTCTCTACGACTCGGCCAAATTTGGGTGGAGGACTTTTAAACATTTTGTTTCTTTTCTTTTAGGATATGAAATGTTAAAAAAACCAGAACAAATGAGCTAGGGCCGGTTTGGTCCGTCTGGACGTGCTCTTTATGAAGACTGAAGAGATACAACTTAAAGCTATGTTTGGTTTGTTAATAACAACATCCTTCGACCTTTTACTTGTATTATTTTCTATCAAAACAAACACACAGCCACAGCCTTGTAAGTTTTGTCAATTGTCACTTACTTGGTGGAAGGACTTTTAACCAATCAAAAACCTCCACGTGGATTTTAATAAATACTATGTAATTGGTAACCACTAACCACTTTTATGATTCAGGTTGATTGGTTCCGGTATTATCATAGTCGAACCCTTGGGTTTATAGGTGGTAACGGGGTAAAGGCATCCCATTTTACAGTCCAAGCTCTGTCCACGAATACTTGGGATTGTCCACCGGATAAGAGTTTGAGTCTCATGCCACGGGATCCATAAAACTGGGTGTCATAACTTGCCAGTTGTACAGTATTTTGAACGTGCAATGAATATAACTGATTTCAAATTAGGAGACCGTGTGGGTGTGTGAAATGGGAAAAGGATAATAAGAAGCATCACCAGTGCGGTGTATGTGCATTCATGTCAATTAGGTATTGGAGAGCATCCAGAATCCAAATCGTCAGTGTTTGTGGGCGTTGAAAATGGTATAAAAATGGGTTTAGAATTTTCAAGTTCCAGTGTTCCACGGCTCCACCCAAACCAAAGGAAATAAACAATGGTAGTTAGTAGGTCGTACATATCTCAATGTCTCCTACAAAACCAGAATCCTCTGTTGGAGAATTGCCTTATAGTCAGTCGGTAACACAGCTAATATTGCTTCACCAACTAATGGAAATTGTTTTATTCATTTTAATATTCCAAAGCAAATCTACCCTAAATGAATAATCTTGTGTATATATATGCCGTTTGCTCCCTGCTGCTCTGGAGGCTGAAGCCTTTATATGCCGGCCGGCGGTTGAATCGTGTGTGTACATAAACAGTATTACAAGCTAGCTATATATTTTACCTACATTTAATTCATACCTAAGCTTTTATATATATATATATATATATATATATATGCCTTATATGCCTTATGCCGGGTCGTGATGAATAGATTGAGTTTTCTTACCCAATCCCATGGACCATTCGCCCATTACCAAATATGCATGTTTCAGCTATCAATAGCATCAAAATTTCCCTATGACTTTCATCAATTGGAGATATAGCATTCTATTAAATATATATGTATATATCTATATATATATATATATTGGTATATTGTGGAAATGTTAAAACGTGCCTTTACCAAAAGGTCCAAAACAAATATTAAACCATGTTTTTGTTCTAAGACATTGAAACTTTTGTTCTAAACCATTATATACATGAGTGAAGACTGGTACAACTAACTTAAATGACAAGATTCTTCTTTTCATTTGTATTAGTATTAGAGTAGGCGCCCAAACTAATTTGTTTAATCCTAAAATATTGCAATTATGGTAACTTTTATTGGTTTTGCTTTTCCTAGCTAGTGCGGGTGCTGATTGACCAAGGGTAGCTTCACGGTTTTAATATGACGAGGCAATATGCATGGCTAATCCAGAGTACAAGAAATCAACCTTATTTTCAAGTTAATTAATTGTTCATTTGAAAACTTAAAATGTTCCAACAATTTGATATATATGGTCTCTTCATCTTTGGCATTGTTTCAGATGAAGCGGCCACCCTTTGACCTCAACCTTCATTCTCATACTTGCCGGTATGAGTTAGCTTTGCTTTTACCATTACATTCACTATTTTAGGTGTGATGTTTGGTATTATTGCTGATTCCTCCAACGAGGTTTTTCATAAATTACCGATTTCTGAGACCTTTGATTTCTCAGAAATCCATAATGAGTTTATTTGATAGTGGTTATCACCAGTGGTTTTTATTTTATGGGAACTACCTCTAGTGATCTAGTGATCTAGTGATCTGGATTCGTTCTTTCACATCCTTTTCATGTAATTGGCGTCACATTAAGGTAGTTGAGATCAATGCATCGCTATTATCTCCAGTGCTGTAGACGCTATGGACATTCATGTACCCAAGTGTTCTGAATTCTAAAGGGTGTCAATGTTCCGGGCTTCGTTCGGATCCCGTTAAAATCAAAATTAATTAGGATGGACCAATAAAATATATTGAATTGGATCAATCTAAATTTAATGGTCAAAAATATTTATTGGACTGGATTGGACCTGATTCATCCATAATGGATTTATATTAGATTGGATTAACAAATATTTCATCTATGGATAGATGATAAAAATACAGGTGGCAATGAATTAGGTTTGGGTTGAAACCAATCTAAATTAAAAATAATTTGAATAGATTAAATTATCATCTATGGATAGATGATAAAAATCCCCCAAAACGCCAAAATCATCTTTTAACTTGAAACGCCAAACAGGCCAAAGAATTAGACCCCAAAGTAGCAGAATTATGCTTTCATTATTACCCTGATGCATATATATGTGTCTGTTGATCTGATTATGTATAAAGTATAAACATTGCGATATTAAAAAATGGTGATGTCGCTTAAGAGAAGGCATGCAGACGCTCCTCACACCTGACGCCTCATATGCATACTCTACCATGCATTGAGAATATCTCCCGTCCTTAATAATTATTATTCGTGAGAAATGTTTCAAATGCACGATGGATATGCATGTAAGGAGCAGATCCCGTCTCCAGGCAGGATGACAGGACCACACCTGCTAACTACGTGGGAAACAACCTGGAAGAACCAAAAGGAGAATACAGCCATGAAATTAATGGCGCAACTAACCAGGGGTACTGCTGGTGCCAACTCATCTATCCATTTCTAAGTGGACAAGCAGTCAAACTGGAGCCCACATTATCCAGATATTAACGCTATAAACATGGATTCATTACACACCCAACTGATCATAAAATTTAATAAATATATATGGCTGCTATGCAGATGCTAAACTTCTTTTGTCAAAAGCCAAACACTATTGCATTGCTTTTGATTGAATAAAACAAGGGTTGGTGGGCTTAAAAAATTAACCGCAAATCACCTACCCCTACCCAAATTCTACAATCGCAGGTAATTAAGTAGGGAAGAATACTTACGTGAGTCGACCACTCTCCTAGAATGGACATTATTTGGCTGCTGCAGCAGCAGCCTTAGCCTTTATTATGCTAACTAATTTTCAAACTATTGTAGGTTTTGTCAAATTTAATTAATTGATCATGGTGTTTTCCATTAAATTAATCTGTCAATTTCCATACATGCAATTCCTCCCAAGTCCAACCAATTGCTTTGAAAGTTGAAACTACAGCATGCCGTGCCGCTAGAAGCAGAATTCTGAGTTCTGATTAGGGCTGTTTATAAAAAGGCCCAACCCTATTAAATTCATCAATCTAGATCGATCCAATCCGAGTCGGTTGGATTTTCATCAGTACCGATCGGTTTTGGATTGTACAAATTCATAAACCGATGATTCGAGTCTGTTTCGATTTTATATAATAAGTAAACAAAATATAACAAGTTAAAAAGATACAAATTCATAAACCATGCTAGGAGAAGCAGAACTCTGAGTTCTGACTTCTGATGGGTCGGCTAATCCGGTTAGATATAACTATAAACCAGATTGGCTCAGCCAACTTGCTTGGTCGCTCACTTTAATTTGGGTCCCACGCTCCTACCACATTTATTGATGCGGGAGCCAACTGCTAAACCGGGTTGACACTGCCCTGGTCTTTTCTGGTTCAATCTCCTAACGATCTTAATTGATGACTATAGAGGAAAAAAGATTGCGATATATTAGTTTATTCGTTTTGAATGTAATCCCGAAGGGAAATACAACACTGACTCCAAGGTCCAACATAATTGTTGAATGTTTGGAGGGATGATAAGTTTACAAATTTCAATATAGTTGACGCCGTCTAATGAAAAGACACTAATCGGATTTTTGCGCTTGCAGAATAGAAGATCAACGACGACGTTTGACTGCCCCAAATTGCTCATTAGGGCTGTATACGATTGTCAAACTATCGGGTTTAACGACACGGTCGTGCTATTTTCTTTGTTGAACCCTTCCTATCGTGGGCTCTGATTGAAATGAACACTTTGCTTCAATTTTTAAGTCATAGGAAGTAGGGTTGTTCACAAATAAATCCAAATCTATCAATTCAGCCCGATCCAATTCGAGTTGTCCGATTTTTCTTTATTATCGGCCGGTTTCAGATTATAAAGATGAATAAATCGATCATTCAGTTCGGTTTCAGTTTTCATGTTTTC